GAGAAACGATGGCTCGATGATGCCCCGGACCCCGCGCATCAGCAGCATCAGCAGACCCCCCCCCCCGACGTGGGTTTCGATGATGCGCACTTTGGGGGCGGGTCAAGGGCAACAAGGGTGGGGGTCGGAGGCACGCGTGAAAACCCTCATAAAAACACGGTATTTACGGTGATTTCAGCGTTTTTCAGCGTTTTTTCTTGCCTTGGGTCCGCGGGCCAGGGCTGCTGATGCTCATGATGCTCGCCTGGTTTTGGGCTTCCGGTACCCCCCCCAAACCTTGAAAAACATGGTTTCGGCCTGGCGCGCGCCCCATGTGAAAAGCTAGGGTCGATGATGCGCGCCCGTGAGGGTTTAATGGGGTGCTGCGGGTGTTTTGTGGCCTCGGTTTTTCGTAAAAACCCATGGTTTTTACGAGGTTTTCGTGCTTTTCGCACCACCGCGTGTTGCGTCCCCTTGGATGCCGTTTCGGAGGCCTCCCGAAGGGCCCCGCGCGAATTTGAAGCAATTTTGGGCGGGGTCGGCGGCTCGGGCGCTCGCCCCTTAAAGCTAGCGCTTTAGTGCGACGCGGGCTCCGCCCTGGACCACGGGCGGCGCGGGGGCCGGATTTCAGGCCTAGCGGCACGGGCCGGCCCCCGCCCCCCAAAGCACGAAACCTTGAACCTTGGCACTGTCTTCTCTTTCCCGTGTCTTTGTCCTCTCCTTCTCTCTGTCTCTCTTTCTCCTGCCTTCGCCACCCCTCCCTCCCCCACCCCCCCCCCGCGCGCGCGCGCCGCGCGCGCGCGCGCGCACCCGCATCAGGAGCATCAGTGGGGTTGGTTTGGGGGCCTTAAAAGCATTCTATGCATGCGTTTTGCCTTCGAAAAACCTTCAGAAAACGCTGTAAACACGTGTTTTTGGGCTTGGGAAGCCTTTTGGGACCCAGGAAAGGGAGCATCATGAGCATCAGCGGCCTCCCCCAGGCCATCCAAAACCCCCTTAAACACGCCGATTGTATGTGCTTGAACACTTGCGTGCCCACGAAACCCCCAAAAACAAGTCCCCGAATGCCCTTAAGGGCATTCGGGGTCCTGCTGTTCGGGTGTTTTGTAGGCACGAAGCCGTTCGAGCGCATAAAATGAGCGATTTTAGGGCGTTTTTACGTGGACCCACAAAACACTCGGTATTGACGAGGTTTTCTGCTGTTGGAACACCCCCCCAAACCGAGCATCATGAGCATCAGCTGGGTCTCTGGGCCGTGGGCCCGGAGGCCCACGAAGCCCACGTGAGAAACGATGGCTCGATGATGCCCCGGACCCCCGCGCATCAGCAGCATCAGCAGACCCCCCCCCCGACGTGGGTTTCGATGATGCGCACTTTGGGGGCGGGTCAAGGGCAACAAGGGTGGGGGTCGGAGGCACGCGTGAAAACCCTCATAAAAACACGGTATTTACGGTGATTTCAGCGTTTTTCAGCGTTTTTTCTTGCCTTGGGTCCGCGGGCCAGGGCTGCTGATGCTCATGATGCTCGCCTGGTTTTGGGCTTCCGGTACCCCCCCCAAACCTTGAAAAACATGGTTTCGGCCTGGCGCGCGCCCCATGTGAAAAGCTAGGGTCGATGATGCGCGCCCGTGAGGGTTTAATGGGGTGCTGCGGGTGTTTTGTGGCCTCGGTTTTTCGCAAAAACCCATGGTTTTTACGAGGTTTTCGTGCTTTTCGCACCACCGCGTGTTGCGTCCCCTTGGATGCCGTTTCGGAGGCCTCCCGAAGGGCCCCGCGCGAATTTGAAGCAATCTTGGGCGGGGTCGGCGGCTCGGGCGCTCGCCCCTTAAAGCTAGCGCTTTAGTGCGACGCGGGCTCCGCCCTGGACCACGGGCGGCGCGGGGGCCGGATTTAGAGCCTCCGGCTCAAGCCGCCGACCCCGCCAGAGCATAGTTGAAAGGTCTAAGCCCGCTCGTCGGCTCAAAGGATGCTTTCCTCATCGCATGGTTCGAAGAGCATCGCAGCCTGCTCGGCAGAATCCCAAAAAGTTGTGAAACGCTCGCGCCTCTGTGAAGGGGGGTACCAGGACCCAAACAGTTTAGGAGCTGAAGCAGCTTGGGGCAATTTGTTGAACAAAGGCCAGACCCAGCACCCGTGTTTGGGTGGGGGGGGGTAGCAGGTGTGGGTGGCCCTCTTTGATGCCTGATTACGGGTGGGGGGGGGGTTCTGGGGGGGGGGGTGTGGGGGGGGGGGGGGGGGGGGGTGGGTGTGGGGGGAAGGGGGGGTGGTAGGGGGGGGGGGGGGGGCCGCACAAAACCCCACCCCCCCCCCCCCTCCTCCCCCGCCCCCCCCGCCCCCCCCTATCCAACATGCCGCCAGGGTCAGCGGACCCCCCAAACCCAAAAACCCCGAAACCCAAAGGCCCTTAAACTCTAAACCCAAAAACCCTAAAACCCTCAAACTCAAAGCAAATCTGCCAGAGGCAGGCGCTGGGATTTGGCGCTTCGGCGTCTTCGCGGCCTCCTCGAGCCTCCTGTGCTCAGACCAGGCCCACACCCTACCCAACCCGCATGCCCTACAAAGCCGCTAAAGCCTGTAAACACGAGAAACCCTACAAACCCTAAAAACACTATAAGCCCTATAAACCCTGTAAACCCAATAAACCTAAAAATCCTACAAACACCTCTCAACATAAGCCCTGAGCCCTAACCTCATCCCCCCCTGCCTCTCAGCCAATTCGACAGTTAAAGTTGGGGGGGGTCAAGCCCTGACCCTGGAGTTCCCACCCGAGCTGCCCAGAACCTTAAGCCCTAAACCCTAAACCTTAAACCTAAACCCTAAACCCTAAACCCTAAACCCTAAACCCTAAACCCTAAACCCTAAACCCTAAACCCTAAACCCTAAACCCTAAACCCTAAACCCTAAACCCTAAACCCTAAACCCTAACCATAAACCCTAAACCCTAAACCCTAAACCCTAAACCCTAAACCCTAAACCCTAAACCCTAAACCCTAAACCCTAAACCCTAAACCCTAAACCTAAACCCTAAACCCTAAACCCCAAACCCTAAACCCTAAACCCTAAACCCTAAACCTTCGGAAGAATGGCAGGGGCCCAACCGCGAGCTGCGGGAGCAGGGGCGACGCTGGCTGGCCGCGCAGCCGGAGCTGCAGGACCTGCCCGGCCTACTGAGGCGCGGTTTAGGGTTTAGGGTTTAGGGTTCAGGGTTTAGGGTTTAGGGTTTAGGGTTTAGCCCATAACCCCAAGACCCTCAACCCTGAACCCTCTGAGCAGTTGAAGGAGTTTTTTGGGAAAGAGTTTGAGAGGTTGGAGCCTAATGGCTTCGGACATGTTCTGCTCAGGGGGCTTCTCAAGATGAGTTGCGGATAGAGTTGTTTAATCCCCCCCCCCCCCAGTATTTTGCAGTCGAAAAGCATCAGATCCCATATTGAGTCGTCAAAAACATATTCACCATCTTCAGGAGTCGTCTGTTTGCAGCCTCTCTCGGGGGTTGGCGAGGATTCAGTGGTCGAAGGATGAATCTTCAACCCTCGCAAAACTGGACATCGACCAGCACGCCGGAGACATTCCCCCCCCAGGCCAAACAAAAATCACACCCTCAACCCTGTTCCTGGAATGAGGTTCTAGAATTGTGGGCTTTTGGGAAATGCTCCAAGAAACCGTGCACAACCCCAAACCCCAACCCCAACCCTTTGGGGCTTAGGGTTCAGGGAGGACTCCTTCACCCCTTGATCCGCAGCAGCTCAAGGGCCGACCTTGCCGCACTGCCGCCAGCCCTGCGCCAGTGCTTGCAGGTGAGGATGGTGGGGTTCAGGGTGTTTACGGTTTAGGTTGTAGGGTTTAAAGTTTAGGGTTTAGGGCCTTGGGTTTCGAGGGTTTGAGGGTTAAGAGCAAAAGGCTTGAGGCCGTCCTGGGGTTTCTGGTTTAATGCTTAAGGTTTCGGGCTTGGGAGGTTTGAAGTCTCAGGGTTCAGGCAGCGAGGTGCAGGGTCGAGGAAAGCATTTGCAGTTCTTATTTTCTAAGAAGTCAGTCTCCCCCATTAGCCCGTAAACCCTCAACCCTGAACCCTGAACACCCTTGACCTCGACTCTCTACCCTTAACCTGCCCGAACGCTAAACTCTGAACTGAACCCTTAACCTGAATTCTAAACCCATGAACCTGTCAAACCCTGCCGACGGGAGTTTCTGCCAAGTGCAGCCCCAAGCCCACTCCCCGACTCCCTAGGACCCTTTGAGCCTTGAACCCCAAACCCCAGAAACTTAAACAATCCTTACATCCTAAACGCCCCTACACCCTAAACCCTAAACCCTAAACCCTAGACCCTAAACCCTAAACCCTAAACCCTAAACCCTAAACCCCAAACCCTAAACCCTATACCCTAAACCCTAAACCCTCAGAAGCCCTTTTCTCCCTGCAGGCCGGCGGCCAAGGTGAGCAGCTCCCGCTCCTGACCGGCTTGCACGTGGCCGCTGCCATCGCGGCCGCTCCTGTGTCAGGCATCGCAGCTCCTTGTTCTCAGGGTCTACATCGGGATTTGGGTGTTATAAAGGGTCTGTTAGCGGTACGGTTTAGGGTTTAGGGTTCAGGGTTGATTTAGGGGTTTGGGTTTCGTGTTCAGGGTATCTAGGCTGTTTGGCCTCTCAACCAGCCAAGACCGGGGAAATAGCCACGCTTGATGGGTGTCAGTTTTGCCGGCGCGACAACAACTTGTCGTGCCAGCCACCCGCGCGTGTTGAAGCACTAATTGGCACAGTGCTGCGCGAGGACATCGAACTAAACATCTAGGAACTAGGTAGTTGCATTCTTCCATGTCTTGTCTAATCTTGACACACTGGGCGCCTGGTGCGCACGCAACCTGGAAGTCATTAGGGGAGTCAGAGGTTATGTAGAGTCTAGGCCCTAGGAAGGTTGGGGCAATCTTCATGTTGAGGCGGCTGCTTGATGTCTGCGAGAGATCTGCAGGTCTCTCCTACCCGCTGAAGCTCGCAATTGACGGAGGAGTTGGCAGTTTCTTGCCTGCCATGCCGGACGACGAAGAGCAGGCAAGCAAGCTTGGAAGTTCGCGGCACATGCATCCTGTTTTCGCTCCATTACTGCTTGATGCAGGTGATTCTTCAAGCTCTAAATGAGGGCAACTTCAACGCACATTGGCGTGGACACACCAGGTATGACTGCCAATGCGGTTACCGGTTTATCGTCGCAGATTGCGGGCAAGCTGTGCAGGAAAGCACGTGCCCTCAATGCCGACGTCGCATAGGTGGCTATGAGTACGCCCGGCATGGTAACAGGCGAGTCGATGCAAAACCAATTGTCAACGCAGCAAGCCTGCAGTCCAAGTCAGGACCGATGAACAAAACGGGGATAGTCGAGACATCACTGGTTCTCAGAGCATGTACGTGTTGAGGCCTAGGGGCCGCTGCTGACATATCGTAGACAGGTATGGATAGGTGTGCCGCGACTGCCAGGATACTTTCTGCATGGTGCCTCTCGTGAACGACGCCTCTCCGTTCGGAAGATCTCGCCCCTGTCCTTTCGAGCACTGCACTTCTTGCTCCACTCGGCGTTCCTTGCCAAGCTCATGGAGACTTCGGCTGGTGCTGTGCAGAATATCATGAGCATTCTGGAGCACATCAGGGCCGACTGGGATGTTCTGTCGCAAATTCTTGGAGCCCCTCCCGCCGGGCTTCTGATGGACATTGCAGGACTGGGAGATGCCTGACTCTAATGGGGATCGAGCCCTAAACTCCCGAAGCTTCCTAAACCCGAAAGCGTCCCAAGCCCTGAACTTCTTAAGCCCTCAGCTCTGAACCCTAAACCCTAAAACCCCCAAAGTTCCCTGAGTCCTGAACCACCATGCAGGCAAGCTGATGTTTGCTTCTCGTTCCACAGCGCAGCCCGCGCTGACGGAAAGCGAGAGACCAGAATGGGAACGGCGCTTTGCCGAGGCCCCCCTCATGGCCCACGCACCTCACAGTTCCGGGGGGATTAGGGTTTAGGGTTTAGGGTTTGGGGTTCAGGGTTTAGGGACTGGAGGGTGCATGCTCGAGTCGCAAGTCAGTCACCAGCCTTGTCGAACAGATGATCATCGAGCCTTGCATGGACTCCGTGCAGAGGGCCGAGTTTGATGCGCAGCTGAGTTGGGACAAGGTGGCTGGCCACGCAGAGGCGGGGCTTGACGTGGGCTTCCTTGCGCTCGGTTTTCAGGGCGCCGACCTTAAACAGACATCCCCGCAACCCCACAACCCCACAACAACACTAAAACCCCCAAAAACCCCTAAGCCCTAAGCCCTAAACTCCAAACTACCTTAGAGTACTGGAACCCCAGAAAAACCCTTCAGAAGACCATACAAAAAACCCTAAAACCCCTGTAAACCCTTAAGAAAACCATACGAAAAACCCCAAATCCCAACTGACAGAGGAGACCCTGCCACTGCTGTTGCTCGACCGCCTTCCCCCGCCCAGCTCGCGCCCGGCAAGAGGGGCCGAGGATGCACGAGGCCGCAGGACTGTTAGGGTTTAGGGTTTAGGGTTTAGGTTTAGGCTTTAGGGTTTAGGGTTTAGGGTTCCGTACATTTTAGGGGCCTGAACTAACCCAAAAAACCCCTAAACCCGCAAGCCCCGACAAGCTTCAGAGCCGTACACGATCCTGAGCTCACGAAACCGCTAGCAGGACCCTGGAACCTAAATCCTAAGAAGTTCCTAAGACCTAACTCTGAACAGTTTTAATCTTAAGCCCTAAAAACTAAATCCTGAACTAGGCATGACATCAACCCAGAAGACTCAAGTGTAAGGTCCCCAACTCAGTTCTATGAAGCCGGGAAAAGCCGAGTTCCCGAGTGCTTCGTACTGATGCTTAATGGGCCTGTTGCACTCTTTCTACTGGGGTTGGGGGTTGGGTGGGGTGGACGTGTGGATTACAAAGCAATCCCTGCACAGTCCCTCGTTTACACCCATGCGGCATCCACGTTCACACGCCCATCCCCCTTCAGCGCGAGTCGGTTTCTCTTTGTGACATCTCCTGTGCTTTTAGAACGCGGACTTGAGACGGTAACCCTAAACCCTAAACCCTAAACCCTAAACCCTAAACCCTAAACCCTAAACCCTAAACCCTAAACCCTAAACCCTAAACCCTAAACCCTAAACCCTAAACCCTAAACCCTAAACCCTAAACCTAACCCTAAACCCTAAACCCTAAACCCTAAACCCTAAACCCTAAACCCTAAACCCTAAACCCTAAACCCTAAACCCTAAACCCTAAACCCTAAACCCTAAACCCTTAACCCTTAACCCTTAACCCTAAACCCTAAACCCTTAATCCTTAACCCTAAACCCTAAACCCTAACCCTAAACGCTAAACCCTCAGCCCTAAATGGCAGGCACCATGCCGGAAACGACCCAGGCACACCGACTGGCTCCACGTGGCTGCAGGTGCTGTGGGTTTGAGGGTTTAGGGTTGAGGCTTTGTGGTGGCTGTTTAGGGTTGCGGATTAGTAACAGGGTTTAGGGTTTAGGGTTAAGGGTTTAGGGTTTAGGGTTTAGGGTTTAGAGTTTAGGGTTTAGGCTTTGCAAGGGCTTTAGCCAAACTTCAGAGCTGGCAGTCTGCACCCACACCCCAGCCCAAGTTCTGGGCCAACAAGAATGTGGCCCAAGACTTCCAAGACCCCTAAACCCCTCGACAGCCCTAAACCTCCGAAGCCTTGAACTCGAAACCCCTAAACCCAAAAAACTTTGAAGGTTTGGGATTGCTGAGGGCTTGGTTTGAAGGGGCTGAGGACTGAATGTGAACTTCGAGATTGCTGGGTTATTGGAGCACAGCAACGTCCAAGGGTTAAGCTCCATCTGCATTTTGAAATTGTGCCTGACTGTATGTATGTCTCTGTTGCCATTTTGGCGAAAGCCCCGGGCAAATTCAACCAATTCGGGAGGTTTCTGGTATGCCTTCATCTGGTCCAACAACATGTGGTGGGCGCTAAATCCGCTAAACCCGTGAACCCTCGATCTAAGCCCCTGAAACACCCTAAGCCCACCCCCGCCCCCCCAAACTAGGCCCAAGGTCGAGCTTCCTCGAACCATCAACTCACACCAAACCCGAAACCTAAATCCCAAACGCTAAACCCTAAACCCTATACCCTAAACCCCAAACCTTAAACCCTAAACCCTAAACCCTAAACCCTAAACCCTAAACCCTAAACCCTAAACCCTAAACCCTAAACCCTAAACCCTAAACCCTAAACCCTAAACCCTAAACCCTAAACCCTAAACCCTAAACCCTCACCCTGAGGTGCCTGGAACTGGGCGCAGGGAATTTCAGCTTCGCGCTGAGCCTGGCTCGGGCGCGGGGGGCAGAAGGACCGAGAAGTTGGTTTTGCGTTTAGGGTTTAGGGTTCAGGGTTGAAGGTTTAGGGTTTAGGGTTTAGGGTTTAGGGTTTTACGGTTATGCGGTTTAGGGTTTTAGAGGTTTAGGGTTTAGGGTCCAGGGCTTTTGTCTGAGACTATTTCAGGTGGCTGGCTTCCTTTATAAGAGTCGTATCAGAGGCGTTTTAGAAGCCTCGAAGGGTTTATTTGAGGCATATAACCACACGCAACTGTTCTTAAGTTTGTGGGCGAGGTTTTAAGGCTTTCCGGGACTTAGAGATTTAGGCGGTTGAAGGGGCTTAGGAGTTTTGGGGCTGTGGGGCTTCTGGGGGGTTTCTGGTTCTGCTGCTAGCTAAAGGGGTCTAGGGTTCAGTTGCAGGGTTTCACGCTCTGGTCTAGATGTTTGGGCTTCAGGGGTAAGGGCTCGCGCCGGAAGAAAGGCCACCAGGGCCTGAATCAACTTCCTCTTCAAGAAATCCAGAGGGGGTTTGGGGCTCAGGGTTTCGGGTTTAGCGCCCAACCCCTAAACCCTTGACAGCCTAAACTCAAAACCCGGAGCCCCGTAAGCCCAAGCCCTAACTTCCAGCCCAAAAGCCCCAAACTGAGCCCCCCCCCCCCCCCCCCCCCCCCCCAAAAAAAAAGAAGAGAAGAACGAACGACAGCTTAAACTCCGGACGCCCAATCTCTCAAGAATTCGTCATCTGGGATCAGGACATTACCGATCGTTTGAGCGTGATAAGAAAGAGCTTCGAAGCCTAAACCCTAAACCATAAACCCGAAACCCTAAACCCTCAACCCTCAACCCTAAACCCGAAACCCCTGCTCCTGAAGGACTCACCGCCACGACCCTCGAGGCTATGGACGTGGTCCAAGCGCGTTGCGGAGCTGCCAATGGGTTTAGGGTTCAGGGTTTAGGGCGTTTAGGGTTCAGGGTTGGGGTTTAGGGGTTTTCGGGTTTTAGGGTTTTGGGGTTTAGGGCCTTAGGATTTAGAGTTTGGGGTTTTAGGGTTTAGGGGGTTAGGGTTTTCGGGTTGTAGGGTCTGAAGGTTTTTAGGGTTTTCGGGTCTGAGGGTTTGAGGGTTTTGCGGGTTTGGGCTTGCGGGTTTTAAGGTTTGGGTTCGACAGCGTTCTGGGCAAACGGCTTAGGTTGCAGGGTTCAAGGTCCAATTTTGTAGGCCAGGGCTTGGGGGGTTTGGGGCATCTGGTTTTCGTTGTAAGGGATGTTCCCCTTTGTACTAACAGTACTAGTAGGGATTATAGTAATCCCGAATCCCTGTTAAGGAGCCAAATTCGTTGTTCAGGCTTCTCCAGGGGCGTTTGGGTTTTCCATTTTAGAGACTCTGAGGTTTTGAGGAATTAGGGCAAAGAAGGTCCGGGATGCCACGTTCTCTCTCTCTCTCCCTCTCTTTCGTTTTTTTTTCTTTTGTTCCTCTTTATCTCTGTCTCTCTCTCTCTCTCCCTCCGTCTCTCTCTCTCTCTCTCTTGCTCTCTTGCTCTCTTTCTCTCTTTCATTCATCTTAGGCTGGTGCCGAAGTGCAGAGTACGCATGCAAGCATGTGTATGCATTCATAGAGTCATAGAGGTTTTGGAAAGCTTTGAGAGCCCCGCACAGAGAGTCTGGCATGGAGCACGCAGAGACACGCATGCATACGGCTCCCTCCTTTAGGGTTTAGGGTTTAGGGTTTAGGGTTTAGGGTTTAGGGTTTTTGGGGCTGTACGTGGCGCATCGCCGCTCGCACTGAGCTTTCTTCGCAGTGTGGGGGTTTGGAGTATTGGTGTCTTAAGCGTCGATGCCTCAGGCTACAGCAGGTTGGACGACAGGATCGTCACAGAGATTGCAGCCCCTTGGCCCACTTCTTACATTCGTTCTACCCTAAACCCTAAAAACCCAAAGCCCTAAGCCCTAAACCCTAAACCCAAACCCTAACCTTAAACCCTACACCCTAAACCTCAGGCTAGGGCCTCCGTAGCGCGGCACCGAGGAGTTGGAGGCTCTGGGAGTTCGGCTGATGGCTGGTGTCGACGGCACGATGCTGCAACGTTTTGTGGGCGTGGAGCAGTTCGACGTCGTCGTCTTCAACTTCCCGCATGCCGGAACCTTCAATGATAGTGCGTCCAAGATCACATGCTCAGATCACGGTGCCCTTCTCGATGGACTGTTTGGAAGTGTGAGGTCTGCTTTGGCAGCCAACGGATGCTTCTGCCTGGCACTATTGAAGAGCCAATTTGCCCGATGGCAGGTCCAGCAGCGCGCCAGCAATCAGGGCTACCGCTTGGTCAGCCATGAGATGTTTGATCGCACCAGCTTCTCAGAGTACAGGCCTGTGTGGGGAGATGACCGAGATTTTACCAGAGCCAGCCAGCCTTGGCAGATCTACTCTGGAGAGGAGCCAAGGATCTACCGGTTCCAGCTGAAGCAGAGGTCAGCACCAACAAGCACCGCAAATCCGACAGGTATTGGCAAGTCGAAGCCAGTCGAGGCTGCACTTGAAGCAGTCATTGGCACCGTGTGTGATGAGGCCCCGCTTTTCTGCCATCGCATGCTGCGCCTTGTGGACAAGCCCTCGCTGCCGAAGATGGAGAGGGAGTTCCAGTCGAAGCTGGCCTTACGCGAGCGGTACCCTTTGCTGAGCGCTTGGTTGCAAGCTCGCCAGGACCTTGAGCTCACACGCCACTTGGCGGTGGTGCTGGATTGGGTCCGTTTCGTCCAGCACCACTTCGCCTTCAAGGTGGCCAGGGACGAGTCTCGCATGACGGTCTATCAGGCCCTGCAGAAGCTGGAGAATCAGAGCAACGAGTTCGGCCAGATGCCACCACAAGCGTCGCAAGTCACCGCCGCAGGCCGGGGTCGGCAGCTCTTCGACAGGTTCTGCGCAGCCTGGGCAGAGTGCCGGGCCGCAGGAAGCATCTAGGTTGGCCGTTGGGATGTTTTTTTAATTTTCCTTATTTGGGTTTGTAAGGGACCCTATATAAACCCTTTTTCAAAGGGTTTAAAGGCCAACCCAGGCATGGAGCGTCAGGGGTGCAGAAAGCTGCCGCCCGTGGGCCCAATGTCGCACTCAAGTTCTCTCAGCCTGAGTTGCGTGGACGAGACGACGGAGGACCTTATGGGTTCTGAGTAGCCTAACCTTTTGGGTTTAGGGTTCAGGGTTTAGGGTTTGGGGTTACTGTTTAGGGTTTAGGGTTTAGGGTTTGTAACAAACGAGAATGCTTTAAAATGCCCAAAGCTGAACCCTCTTTTCGCGGAACTCAGCCAGCAAGAGGAGGGCTCCTACGTCCTTGCCTTGGTCGAGGACCTGGCCGGCCGGCAGAACGCCTTCGTCGAGGCGAGGGGTTTAGGGTTTAGGAGGGTTTAGGGTTTAGGGTTTACGGTTTCGGGTTTAGGGTTAGGGTTTCCGGTTTAGGATTTAGGGTTTTGGGAAAGTTCTAGAGGGTCGGGCTAAAGGTCACCTAGAGCGAGGAGCCTGTAGACCCAGGCGCATAGGGCACAAGTGCCTTCATCAATGAATTGTTGGGTTTAGGGTTTCGGGTTTTTGGGGTTTGCTGTAGGGTTTGCGGTTTTCCTTTTATTTCGAGGCAGGGTCTGTTTGCGCAGGCCTGCCTGGAGATTGCCAGCAGGAGGGAGGGTCCCAGCGCGCAGCGGGTGCGGAGCGTCACGGAGTATTGGTTTCACCAGGGCCGCGTCTCTCTGCCCTCTGTGAAGATGCAGGAGCGAGCTGCGAAGCCTGAAGCCCAAAACTTTGGCCCGAAACTCGCCTAAACCCTAAACCCTAAACCCTAAACCCTAAACCCTAAGCCCTAAACCCTAAGCCCTAAACCCTAAGCCCTAAGCCCTAAGCCCTAAGCCCTAAGCCCTAAGCCCTAAGCCCTAAGCCCTAAGCCCTAAGCCCTAAGCCCTAAGCCCTAAACCCTAAAGCCCTAAGCCCTAACCCTAACCCTAAACCCTAAACCCTAAACCCTAAACCCTAAACCCTAAACCCTAAACCCTAAGCCCTAAACCCTAAACCCCAAGCCCTAAACCCTAAACCCTAAACCCTAAACCCTAAACCCTAAACAACCCTAAACCCTAAGGATACCAGGCCCCAAAGCCCTGAAGATGAAGGACCTCCAGCCCATGCATCTCGTCCACCTCGACCATCGCAGCTCGCTTCCGGAGGAGGGCTGGCTCCCCAAGCCTTGTAAGCCCTATAAACCCTTGACCTTAGCCCTAAACCCCAAACCCCAAACCCTAAGCCCTAAACCCCAAACCCTAAACCCCAAACCCTAAACCCCAAACCCTAAACCCTAAACTCCCTGAACTGGAGGAGGGCTGGTTCCAAGTTGCCGGCAGCGCCGGAGCGCTGGCCGCCTGGGAGACGTCCGGCCTCTCCTCCGCCGACATCGAGCGGCCGGATCTGCTGCCAGGAATGCCCTTGGTATCGTTTGGGGTTTAGGGTTTAGGGTTTGGGGTTTAGGGTTTGGGGTTTAGGGTTTGGGGTTTAGGGTTTAGGGCCAGAGTTTTTGTGTGGTTGAGGGTTTAGGGTGTAGGATGAAGGCTCGCGCTTCTTTTTTTTGCAAGACTTAAGGGGTTTAGGGTGTGTTTTTTCATAGACATATGTCCGTGTTGCTTCAGCCCGAAACCCTTAGGCGCCTACTGTAGACCCTTCGGCCCAACAGCCTATGTCCAAAACCTCCCAGAAGGGCCGCCAAGAACTAAACCCTAGGCCCTGGACCCTAAACCCCAAACCCCAAACTGTAAACCCTAACCCCTAAACCCCAAACCCCAAACCGAGGCTGGTAGCCGGTTCCACCTGCATCTTCGACTGGGAGCTCTTGGAGCAGCAGCTCGCGGAGAAGGTCTTGCAGAAGGCCGTCCATCTGGATACTGCGGCGCTGATTTGGAATAAAGTTTACAGGGTTTAGGGTTTAGGGTTTAGGGTTTAGGGACCCAAAGCCCGCATGTGATGTTTATGACAACCCTCCCCCCCCACCGTGATGTTCATAGCCCCCCCCCCCTCCCTCCCCCCAAATCATCCCCCAGGACACCTCCATGGACCAGTTCCCCTTCTCTGGCGAAGCTTTCCTTCATCGCTACACCTTCCTGGAGGACCACAGCCCAAATTCCAAGCCCCCAAACCAAAACCCCCGAAAAATCTTAGAAAGCCCCTCACCCCCCCCCCCGCCCCACCACTCCCCTCCCCCCCCCTTCAAAGACACCCTTGTGAACCCCCTTCAAACCCTTGCAGGAGGCCTGCTCCTTCGTGGCGCAGGAGCCGAGCCCTGATGGGCCCCGGCAGTTCTTGCTCGACTCAGGCCCAGCGCAGGGCCTCCTCTGCTCCCTGGCCTCTTTTGCCTTTTGGGTTTCCGGGGGTGAGGATTTAAGGCTTTGAGGGGTTGGGGTTTAGGAGCTCCAACTCCCCCAGCCCTAAACCCGAAACCCGAAACCCGAAACCCGAAACCCGAAACCCTAAACCCGAAACCCTAAACCCTAAACCCTAAACCCTAAACCCTAAACCCTAAACCCTAAACCCTAAGCCCTAAACCCTAAACCCTAAGCCCTAAGCCCTAAACCCCTACCCGTTCCTTGAGCAAAAGGTTCCTTACAGGCGGCGCTGGCGGCCGTCCGCCGGCTGAAGCCGCAGCCGGAGCTGCCGGTCTCCGACTTCTGCCTCCGCTGGCTCCTTTGGGCTGCGGAGTAGGGGTATAGGGGTTAGGGTTTGGGTTTAGGGTTTAGGGTTTTAGGGTTTAGGGTTTAGGGTTTAGGGTTTAGGGTTTAGGGTTCCATGGGCTGCGCAGTGCTTGAAGGTTCATGGGTAGCCCTTTGGGAACTCCCGGGGGGGTTTTCAGCCTTTTTTTGTTCACCGGGAGAACAGCCAACAGTGAGGTTCCACGAGTCCCATCTCCAGCACTTGACCAGCCAAGAGCAGTGCAAGGGACTGCAGGTGCCTTTTCGGGGCTATACGGCTGTAGAGTGTAGGGTTTAGGGTTTAGGGTTTAGGGTTTAGGGTTTAGGGATTCGGGTTAAGGGTTTAGGGTTTTGGGGCTTTAGAGTCTATGGGGTTTAAGGGCAGGAACTGGTTTAGGTGTCGGAGGGCTATCGGACTGGAGATCCACGGCGAGTTGCAGGGCTCCCTTGTTGTGGTAACCCTAAACCCTAAACCCTAGGCCCTAAACCCTAAACCCTAAACCCTAAACCCTAAACCCTAAACCCTAAACCCTAAACCCTAAACCCTAGGCCCTACACCCTAAACCCTAAACCCTAAACCCTAAACCCTAAACCCTAAACCCTACACCCTAAACCCTAAACCCTAAACCCTAAACCCTAAACCCTACACCCTAAACCCTACACCCTACACCCGCAATCCAGGTGAAGCATCTTGTCCACTTGTTCGAGGTCGCGGAACTCCATGCCTCCGATGAGGCATTGCAGCAGCACCTGCTTTCCAAGGCTTACTGTGCCTCGGACGCCCCAGTACCCTCGTTGCCCCTCCTTTAGGGCAAGTGATCCCCTCAACCCTCAACCCTAAACCCTAAACCCTAAACCCTGAACCCGTAAACCCTAAACCCTGAACCCGTAAACCCTAAACCCTGAACCCGTAAACCCTAAACCCCAAACCCTAAACCCTAGGCCCTAAACCCCAAACCCCAAACCTAAACCCTGTGTTGTCTTCGGCTGATGCGGAACCCAGGTGCTGAGCTGCCGGCCTCACTTGCGCATATGAACCGCTGGGGCGGAGACGCCGCTGTCGTGGTGCTGGACACGCTGCGGCGTGTGGCCAGGACCTGATATTGGACCCTCATATCCTTTCTTCAGGGGTTCGGCGTCCCCCCCTTCCCCAAAGAAACAAAAAGGGTACTCTTGTGTATCCCTGGGTCTCACTTTGGGATCTAGGTGGTGATGCGCTTTCTCCTACATGGCCGAGCCTGGCCCCCCGAAGACGACGTGAGCTACTTTCTCGAGTCCGCCATGAGGAAGATACCTGAACTTGACGTTCAGTCCGTGTCCGGCTTCTTCGATGGCATGAAGCTGAAGCATGTCGGCGCAGCCCTCGAGCATGCGCGCAAGGTCTCACCAGAGTCCGACCCCCTGCTGTAGCAGGACCTCTCCGTGGAGAATGTCTCCAGGCCCGAGATATGCGTAGTTCCCTAAACGAGGGTCCATCTTTTGGGCCCTAAACAGTAGGGCGCCCTTAGCATAAGGAGCCCAAAAGGGGACCCTAATTTTGAGAGGTACCCATATACTAGTACCAAGCCCAGCCCGAAGAGCCAGCGTAACTGGGCAGCCAAACTTGGGATGTGTGAGTATATGTCCTTAACAGCTAAACCCTAAACCCCAAACCCTACACCCCAAACCCTAGACCCCAAACTAGTTCATGTACCAATAGCTTTTCCGAGACTTGCCAGGGCCCAACCGAGGAAAGAGCGGCAGAGGTGTCCAGCTCAGGGGGTTGTCATTGCGGCTTGACCCTGTCTCCAAGTGATACTTGCAAAAGATGCAGTGGTCGAAGCCGCATGACACAAGGATTCTCTATGATAGTGTTCGGAGGTTCAATTCGGGGTAGTTATACGTAGGGTGAGAAGTAAGGTAGCCTATATTACAACCTTAAGTAGCACATATACTACAAATATCTCTAAACCCTAAGCCCTGAACCCTAACCCTAAACCCGAAACAACCCAAAGCCCTAAACCCTAAACCCTAAGCCGTACTTACAACTACCCATGAACCTCAAGTGGCAACTTATAGCGCTCGGACCGACGGCCAGAGAAGGGGCGACTTTCCAGAAAGCGTGCTGCGTGTGCTTAATGTGTGCCCGGTTGCCAAGTTGCCATTCTGAAAAGCAGTGGGTTGAGGGATTAGGGTTTAGGATTTCAGGTTTCGGGTTTCGGATTTGGGTTTGGGGTTTGGGGTTTGGGGGGTTTGTCCCAGCTGCAGCCATGTCTTGGTTGCTGTTAAGAAACTTAAGTTGAGTTCTCATAGTTTCTCCTTATCATGGTATGAGTTCCCTAATAGCATCCTAGCATGTTTGAGGATGGGCACGTCTGGCATTTCATCTCAAGGAGTTGTGGGGCAGGAATCCTGCGCGGCATCTTGCAGTAGTCGCACGGATCCGCAATGGAGTGCAGCAGATGTCACGGCAAGAAATCCTCCTCGGACTTTCCCGCGCGGATAGTCGGATGCCACCCTGGCAGCACACAGCAGAAGTTGGATTCATTGATGCCCATGCCAGATGCCAGCATGTCCTCCCTGCAGATGATCATGCCTGCGCCTGCGCTGAGGCGAGCACCCGCCCACTGTCTGCTTGACTTGCCTGGACAATCTCTTGCCCAAAGACAAGACCTTGTCAGGCTGGTCATGGGGCAGTGTTAGCGCAAGTAATCCCCTCCCCCTGATATGACACCCCCTCCCCCCCCACCCCACCCCCTAATATTAAACCCCCTTACAGTGCTATTATAGTACATGGGAGTATTTCATATTAGGGGGTAGGGCGGGGTTAATTTTAGGGGGAGGAATGTTTGACGACCCTGCGCAGGCATGTGCCCTGAATGTGGACATTTCTTGTCCACCGCGGAGATACAGAAAATCAGGAGGCTCATGAAGCATTGTCGCCAGCCTCATATCAAGTGGGAATGCATGCTCGGACACACGGGCAGCTGTGGAAGTGTACGGACCCGTGTCAAGGTAACCGCGAGTGCGCGGTCTTTCGTGATCTCGATCTACTCAGCGCGAGAGAAGAAGAGGCTGAGCGCTCGGTGAGAGGCATCAAGGGTTTAGGGTTTAGGCTTTAGGGCTTAGGGTGAATGGATGCAGAGTCTTGCAAATGTCGTTGCCTGTGGGTGTTTTGTTCGGGCTTCAGGTGCTGGGGACGAGTGTGTGCATGGTTGTAGTTTTAAGGCCCTTTGTTAACAAGAGTCCTTGTACAAAGCCTCCCGTTAGAGACCCGAGACCCTGATACCTCCAAACCCTGACTAGAACTCCGAAGCCTTTAACTAAAGAAAGTTCTTTTTAACGCCGCACAAGCTCCGAAAGACCCTAAAGCCCGTAAAGCCCCTAAAGCCCCTAAAACCCCTAGAGCCCCTAAAGCCCCTAAAGCCCCTAAAGCCCCTAAAGCTAAAGCCCCTAGAGCCCCTTTCATATGGTCCCATCTTGCACCGTGAACCTTTTCTAGTACCTTCCCCTTAATTCTAACCCCCTCCACCCCCTGACATTAAATACTCCGATTTTGTGGTGTTCTAGTACAAATATTTCATATTAGGGGATAGTTTTTAACCCTAAGCCCTAAGCCCTAACTAAACCCTAAACCCTAAACCCTAAACCCTAAACCCCAAACCCTAAACCCTAAACCCTAAACCCTAAACCCTAAACCCTAAACCCTAAACCCTAAACCCTAAACCCTAAACCCTAAACCCTAAACCCTAAACCCTCGAAAGAGGGGAGTACTTTGTTCGGGGGGGGGGGGGGGGGGGGGGGCGACTCTCAAGGCCTCAGGGCTGAGATGCCTGATGCCTGGACAGGTTTACCAAGGCTTTGCTGGGATCCTGGGGTGTTTAGGGTTTAGGGTTTAGGGTTTAGGGTTTAGGGTTTAGGGTTGAGGGTTTAGGGTTTAGGGTTTCTGTACTTGGTGACCCCGAACGGTGAAGACTAATGGAGCTGGTAAAATGCTTCCCTTTTGGAAAAATGAAAAAACTGTCTTTTTAATGTTCATTAGAAATATGTGGTTTGCAATTTCAGCCTTTGGGAGTGTGCCATGACTAAGCTCAGCTGCGGGAGAGAGAGTGCCGACCCCGTCCGGAGGCACCCGAATGTTATTTGCTGCCATGAATTGCTAAACGTGCTCATGACATTACATAGGCGCATGCCTAGGATCTTACTATTTGGGGGGTCTGGAATATAGGGATCCTTGAGTATCGTAAACCCCCACATGACAGAAGAGTGCATCAAGTAGCTGTAGTATCTGGAGTAGAGTTCTAGTATACCAATCTGTTAGTGAATTACGGGGTATGCTTTGGTGCCGAAGCCACGAGTCCAGGCCAGGGCGGCTTTGCCAAAGTCGTTCGCGCGAGGCACGGCTTGGAGTTTAGGATTTCAGTGCAGGCGTTGCAATTGCGCCAGGTCCAGTGTTGCCCAAGTAGTTGGAATTTGTTCTTAAGATGTAAGGTCGAGGCGCAATGCGGTGTGTAGGTAGTGGTCGTAGCCGTGTTCGTGGAGTCGTGGTCGTGGTATGTGGTGGCGTGATGGTGGTGGTGGTAGCGGTGGTGCTGTGTAATTGACGGCATGTTTCTTTGTGTGAGGACTGCGCAAGACACTGGAAGGGGTGTCAAATCGGAAGAACAGCGTGGCCATTTTTTGCTTCACTTCCCGGCACGCGTGGCTGTCTTGGCTTCTGGGATGCGCGATGCTTCTTCGCCGCCATGGGGCGACCCCCCCCCCACCCTGCACTTCTTTGCATACTCTGCATATATCGAATCTAGAAATCGCCGCCATTTACCGTGTGTTTGATTAGAAGTGTTTTAATCAGTTTTTCTTGCGCAAGGTGTATGTAAATCGAGTCATCTCAAAGGTCCTACGTAAATCGAGGAACCCCCCTTACCAACCCCCCCAACCAACCTTGAACCCTGAACCCAAAAGCCTCAACCCTCAACCTTAGACTTTTGGGAGTTCCGAGGGCGGGGGGGGGGGTGCGGACTGTCAGGCACTGCGATACTGGCACCTCCTTCGCCGTGAAGGTGGCGGAGGCTTCAGCGCATGCCCGTTTCGTTCCCAGTCAACCGCCCCATCTTAATTTCACTGGTGCCTCGAGAGGCACCGCGTGCAAAAAACCATGCATACTTCCATCGACCAGGAGGGGCATCTCCATGAGGAAGCCGGCCTCATGCTCCGAGTCAGGCGTCTCCGCTCATGCCATTGTGGTTTGCAATTTCAGCCTTTGGGAGTGCGTGACTAAGCTGCGCTGTGGGGAGAGTGTGTGCCGACCGTGAGGCATCCGAACGTCACTCGATGCCACGAGCTCCTGTGTGAGAAGGGCAGGCTCCCAGTTGCGCTTGCGCGTGTTTTTGGTTAAGGTGCTTGCGTGTGTTTTTGTAGGGCGCAGGATGCTGGTGCACCACATTACGGTATGCTGTTTAAAGGAAGGCAGGAAGTAAGGAAAGGCAAGGAAAGGAAAGGGAAGGAAGGGCAAGGAAAGGAAAGGAAAGGAAGGGAAAGAACGGCGCCTTTTCTCCGCGGAAACGGATGCCAAACTGCAACCCCAACTTGAGATGCTGGGCTCGCATTCACGAACATCATGCCATGGGAGTGCCCCCCCCGTCCTCCCACCCCCAACCCCCCTGCTTTTTTGAGCCCGCTTTTTCAAGCCAGCCAAGCTCGCTTTTGAGAACACCGTGCTGTTGCAAGGTATTGTGGCTGCACAGTCCTGTTCGTCACAAGAACACACTGCTGCTGCCCCAGCCCCGCCGCCCGGGCAAGCTCGCTTTCAAGAACATCGCGCCGTCGAGAGGACTATGAATCCTTCCAAAGCCATCGTACGAGCAGCGTTTGCAAATGGGGGAAGGGGGTGCGTTCAACACCCTGCTTCTTTAAGCTTGCGTTGCATCGCCTGTTTCAGCCTGGATTTGCGGCAAATACCTCATGAATTTTCAGTGCTTCGTTGAAGGTTTCTGATGCAAAAATTGCTGTTGGTGTGTTCTCCAGAGGGACATGCTCTTGAGACTGAAGAATCTAAAAAACTCACCCCTGCTATGGCATATGACTGTCACCTGGTAGGTGCTACCTTATCATGGAGCTGGCGGAGGGCGGCACCCTCTTGGACCATATCGTCCAACGGCAGTGGGTGCCAGTGCGACGCCTCGGATTGCTTGCGCCGTGACCTGCGCTTGCTGTTCTTTGACCCCTCGTGCAAGGAGAAGGAGGCTACAAGCATCGCACAACATTCCCATATGTGGTTCTACGCAATGCTTTACTGGGCGCTAGGCTGCGCTCTTCTTTCTTGAAGCCCTACACAGCCTCTTGCCACAGCCGTGAGAGTGTGTAATTGCAACTACAGTGCTCGAAATATCCTGTGACTGCCAAGGGGATGGCTTTAAATCTAGCATCACGTTGCTGTTTTGTAAAAGGCTCTAGTTGTATTCAGGAAGCCTGTGTCGATGACGTCCGAGCAGAACCTCAAACCCTAAACCCCAGAACTGGACCCGGGATTGTGACCGTAGGATTCCGACAACGTTGCCTTGTGCAAGAAGATCCGCTCTGGCAGCTACGCTGCGCCGGCCTGCCTCACAGCTGCTTGCAAGGACCTGGTGTTGAGGCGTAGTGCTTGGGTAGTGCGGTCAACACTAAGGGTGCCTTACGTCAAGGGTAATAGGGTCTACGCTGGCCGGCGCATGCAGCGCGCGTGCGCGGCACGCCCGCTGCGGACAATGCTCTGGCACTTCCTGTTTGATAGGGAGCTGCTACTCCTGTTGCAAGCGTAGCAATCGAGATGGTCTTGTTGGTTGTAGGACACTGCTCCGCGCGGATGTGGCCGCGTTCGCCGTGCTGGAAACTGTCGTCTCTTTGTCTCTTTGCGAAATCGGAAACTGTCGTCGAAAAGCGAACCCATCGTCGCTTTGAACATTTGGGCTCATGAAGTGCCAAACTGTCGTAGCTTTTAGATGTCTCGCCTTGCGGATTGCAAAATTAAATGTCATAGGTTTTGGAAACAAGCCAGGCAAGCTCGCGTTTGAGAACACCGTGCTAACCCTGAACCCAAAGGCCTCAACCGTACACGTTTTAAAGCAAGTTCGGAAAAGTGCACCGTCGATAACCAAACCTTACCTTTGTGGCATTATCAGAGTTGGATGTTCTTGCTGACTGTCAGGCGCAGCGAGACGGGCACGGCATTCGCGGTGAAAGTTGCGGAGGCTTCACTGCGATGAAGAAGCCGGCCTCATGCTGCGAATCAGGCGTCTCAGCTCATGCCATTGTGGTTTGCAATTTCAGCTTGGGAGTGTGCCGTGACGAAGCTGCGCCGTGGGGAGAGTGTGTGCCGACCGTCCGGAGGCATCCCAATGTCATTCGATGCCACGAGCTTCTGAATGTCCGGGGCAGGCCAAAGCTCCCAGTTGCGGGCGCACGGATTTTTGCTTATGACGCGTGTGTTGCCTGCTGCCAGAACGTCAACATGGACGGGTCCCCCGATAGGGGACCGCCTGTAAACACTTTTCGACCCGAAAAGTGCTCACAGGGGGTCCCGTGTTGGGAGACCCCCTGTGAACACTTTTTGTCAGGGGACCCCCTGAACGTATTTCGCCGCGATAACTGTTCATGGGGCGGTCCCCTTTTAGAGGGCGCCCCCTTTCACTGTTTGTCGCGAAAAACAAAAAAAGGAAGGGTCGGGACCCCCTGTGAAGATTATTCGGGCTTAATGGCCAACGAGGGGTTGGGATGCATAGGAGCTCAATGACGCCAGGTTTATGAGGTTTAAGGGTTTAAGGTTTAAAATATTGCAGCTTTAAGCTTCACAACTTCACGATGTCAGGGCACTAGATACAAGAAAGGCAGTCAAAACCTATCACGAGAAATTTCGTTGAAATCTCTTTCGGCTATTTCAAGATGAAGTGTCAGACAAAATTGGAATGAGGGCAAAAAACTAACCGATAACATGAAGGATGGATGAACTTCAATTACAAGTACGATGGCAATTGCAAATGCAATTACAGTTTACACTTACAATTACAATTGCAAGTGCAAATACAAATTACAATTACAATTTCAATTGCAATTTCAGTTTTAATAATTGCAATTGCAATTGCAATTACCAATTACAAATTCCATTTCAATTTCAATTTCAGTTTCAATTTCATTTTAAATCTTCAAAACCCTAAAGCCCTAAACCCTAGAGCCCTCAACCCTAAACCCTAGAGCCCTAAAGCCCTAAAGCCCGAAAACCCTAAAGCCCTAAAGCCCTAAAGCCCGAAAACCCTAAAACCCTAAAACCCTAAAGCCCTAAAGCCCTAAAACCCTAAATCCCTGCACCCTAAACCCTAAACCCTAATCCCTAAACCCTAAACCCTAAACCCTAAACCCGAAACACTGAGGTCAAGAGGCAGGCCGAGCTGGGACTGGACTTGCCCCAGGAGGGCAGAGTGGAGGCAAGCAGGGCTCGAGGAGGTTTTGGGGTTTAGGGTTTAAGGTTTAGGGTTTTTAGGGTTCAGGGTTCAGGGTTTGGGGTTTAGGGTTTAAGGTTTAAGGGTTTTAGGGTTTAGGATTTAGGGTTTGGGGTTCAGGGTTTAGGGTTTTAGGGCTTAGGTTTTGGGGTTTAGGGTGTTTAGGGTCGACTTGAAGGTTCATGGGTACTTGAAAGTATGGTTAAAAGTTGACTAGGGCACTCATAACCCTGCTTACAACTTATAACTACCCATGAACTTTTAAGTAGGGTTTCAGAAGGGGGGCCGTCACGGGCCTGCGTTTTTGCACAGCCGTATTTGCAAGGCTTGATGTGAGGAAACCCTCAACACTCAATAAGCTACTACTGTCATGCATCCTTAACCATGAGGGTTTTAGGGCTTTAAAAGCTACCCGCTGTTGCGCTTAATCCTAAGCCGAACCAGTTGTAGGGAGGAGATCACATACTGCGTGTCGCCCGACTTTCCGGGTCCAGTTCAAGCGTGGAGATGATCCCCAAAGCCCATGGGTTCACCAGCTGTTTAGGGTTTAGGGTTTAGGGTTTAGGGTTAGACCTCTCGCGGAAGGTCTCTGTGCTCGATGGACGCCGGCTCACACTGCTCCGGCCTCGAAATTTGCTAGGCCTTAGGGCTCCAGAGCTCCCGTTTGGGGTTCGGGCCGGGTTTAAGAGCTCCATCTAGGGGTTAGGGTTGAGCGCTGGCTTGCCACTGTTGCCGAAGGAAGCCCTGCATGTGGCAGGCTTAGAATTCCAATGAGTCCGAGCATGGCTCATGTCGCCTAAACCCCACACGTCTTGGGTCCTCTAAAGCCTAAAGCCTAAAGCCTAAAGCCTAAAGCCTAAAGCCTAAAGCCTAAAGCCTAAAGCCTAAAGCCTAAAGCCTAAAGCCTAAAGCCTAAAGCCTAAAGCTTAAAGCCTAAAGCCTAAAGCCTAAAGCCTAAAGCCTAAAGCCTAAAGCCTAAAGCCTAAAGCCTAAAGCCTAAAGCCTAAACCCTAAACCAACCCTAAATACAGATTCAAGAATAGCCCTTGCCCAAGTCTTTTAAACGCTCCCTGACCGGTGGCAGGGGTGGAGAGCAGCTGCCGAGGTCCCTGTCGCGTAGAATGCGGCTCAGCGAGGTGAAGGCAGAGATCAGAAGAGGCTTACACGTGCCGGAAGGCAGGACTGGGTTTAGGGTTTCGGGTTTAGGGTTTCGGGTTTAGGGTTTCGGGTTTCGAGTTTCGGGTTTAGGGTTAGGGTCTAGGGTTTAGGGTTTAGGGTTTAGGGTTTAGGGTTTAGGGTTTAGGGTTTAGGGTTTAGGGTTTAGGGTTTAGGGTTTAGGGTTTAGGGTTTAGGGTTTAGGGTTTAGGGTTTAGGGTTTAGGGTTTCGGGTTTCGGGTTTCGGGTTTCGGGTTTAGGGTGTAGATGCGCTGATGCACATAAATTGTGGCTGGGGCTTTCCCGGGACTCTCCACTACCCCTTGACGAAGGAATCTTTTTCTTAAACGATAATGGAGTGGAAGAGTCCTAGCAGAATTTAACAAATATTTCTTGATTTTCGTTGTTGCAGTCTCAGTCTTTGTGTAAATTGGGATTTGTTGGGACCAGGCTGCTGAGAAGGGCATCCTTCGAAGGGAGACCCTAAGGCCGAAACCCTGAACCTTCAACCCAATCCCGTCCCAAAAGAGAGCGAGACATATATACGGACTCTTCAGGGTTTGGGGTTTAGGGTTTCAGGGTTTAGGCTTAGGGTTCGAACGCTTGTTGCAAAGGCGAACATGAACCTTGGCCTTGGTCCTTCCATACCCACGCCCTAAGTGTTGCTTCTCAAAATAAGACCCACATACAGGCCAACAAGAGCGAAGCAAGCAAAGTAAAGAGTGAGTGAAAGAAGCGCAGACCGAACGGACGATGTACCGGGCAGCGTAGATGAATTTGTCTAACTGCGCAACAGCCATGCTTAGAACTCTTCTCTGTTGGTCTCGCAAGCAAGACTTTTGAATCCAGCAAGGCTTGGCAAGGTACAAAAGTGTCAAGTCGTAGTGTTACAAATGGGAGGCCTCCCTGCCCCCTTCCCTGTCCCTAAACTCAAAACCCAAACCCTAAACCCTAACCCCTAGACCCGAAACCCTAAACCCTAAGCCCAAAACCCTCAGAGGCATGATAAATGCTGGTTGGGTGCGTTGGGAGCCGGAACGCTGCGGTCCACACTACTTGCAGCCTGTGAGCTGGCCGAAAAACGCTCTTTCCAATTTACAGTATTCTTTTTGAACATGTTTCAAGAACCAGAAAGAAAAAGCTCGAAGCACAAAGGCTTTCTGACACTCCCCACCCCGGACTAAACCCAAAACCCCAAACCGGTCATCTCAACTAGTTTAGGGTTTAGGGTTTAGGGTTTAGGGTTTAGGGTTTAGGGTTTAGGGTTTAGGGTTTAGGGAGCCAAGTCAGGGAAGCAGCGCCTGCTTTTCAGAGGGCGAGACCTGACGGCCACTGGGCAGCGCACGGCTGCTTTGGGGCTTTGGGGCGCATGGGGGGGCTCGTACTGTTTAGGGTTTAGGGGTTATGGAGAGTTTAGGGTTTAGGGTTTAGGGTTTAGGGTTTAGGGTTTAGGGTTTAGGGTTTAGGGTGGCTTTAAGTGGTCAGTCAAGCAGTTCAGGCTTTCCGGGGTGTTGGGATTTAAGGTCTGAAGTCGAAGCCGAAGCCAACGACCCTCAAGTCCTAGACCCCCAACCCTGCACCCTTCTCGAGTTTGGTTGGGGTCTTAGGGTTCAGGGTTTAGTCCTCAGGGTTTAGGGTTTAGGTTTCGGGTCTGGGGCTCTAATGTCCTGAGCCCCCAAGCCTGACCTCTCGACCTGACAGCTGAAGGCAAGCCATGAGGGAGATCCGCACTGGAGTTCGTTGGGAGTGCCTTTTGGCGAGGTGCGAAACCCTGCTTGAAAGTTCATGGGTGCTTCTAAGTAGGTTACAAGTAAAAGCAAGGTATCCTAGACTATAACCTTAATTAAGGTACTTATACCACGTATTCCTTCAGAACTACCTGTGAACCTTCAGGAGCACCCTAAAACGCTAATCCCAAACCCCTAAACCATGAACCCCAAAGCCCGGGTCAAGATCATCGTGTGGGGGCAGGATGCTCTTGGCCAGTGTGCTTGAAGGGGCCATCTTAGTGGTTCCGGGCTCCGGGGTTAGGTTTTAGGTTTTAGGTTTTAGGGTTTAAGGTTTAGGGTTTAGGGTTTAGGGTTTAGGGTTTAGGGTTTAGGGTTGGGCGGAAAACGGCTGCACGCACATTTTGGGTTTAGGGTTTTGAGATTCGGGTGTTGAGGCTACACAGACACACGGACACACCGACATGGAGACACAGAGACACACAGACACACAGACGCAGAGACGCACAGACACGCAGACACACAGACACACAGACACAAACAGACACACAGACACACAGACGCACGGACATACAGACACACAGACACACAGACGCACGGACACACAGACACACAGACACACTTTTGCTAGATCGAGTTGGCTCTTTTCCTTTCAGAATTTGGTAGGCCAGTGCTCAGCTGTGCCAGGTGATCCAGCTCGTCATCATCATGTATGAGACAGAGTCCAACAGCCGGGCCAGTACCGTGAGGTGTGCTGCTTTGGACACGCCACTAGAATCTCGAATCCTCAATCCGCGTTACATCTCACGTCCCCCGAAGCTGTAAACCCCAACGCCCTGAACGCTCCCAAGCCCCTAACCAACCCGAAGAAATCTAACCCAACTCAGCCCTAAACACCGTCCAATGAACCCGAACCCTGAAGCCGTAAACCCTAAACCCTAGGCCCTAAACCCTACACCCTTAACTTTAAAGACCCTACCAACCCAAACCCTAAGAGCCATAAGAGCCCCAAAGCAACCATACAGCCCCAACCCTAAAAGACTACAACCCCTGCAAACACCCAAAACACAGAAGCACATAAACCCTATAAACCTCACACACCCGATAAACCCTATATACCCTATGAAGCGTATAAACCCTAGCATACCCTAAAATTGTCGAAAAACTTCCCGAAGCAACATAAGACCCCCAAACCCTAAACCCTAAACCCTAAACCTTAAATTCTAAAAACCCTAAACCCTAAACCCTAAACCCTAAACCCTAAACCCCAAACCCTAAACCCTAAACCCCAAACCCTAAACCCTAAACCCTAAACCCCAAACCCTAAACCCTAAACCCTAAACCCTGAACTCTAAAATGCCCTATCATACCCTACCTAACCAAAGTCCACCCCAACAAAAAGACCCTCAAGGCGGCTCACCTTCGAGCTGAGCTGGACGGCTGTGCCCACGCGGCTCAGGTCTGGGAAGGCCCCTTTTTTTGATCATCCTTCTTAAATTGCTTGGGGCTGGGGTTTAGGGCGTTTAGGTTCATTATAATACTTATCCTTTTTTGATCATCCTTCTTAATTGCTTGGGGCTAGGGTTTAGGGCTTCTAGGTTCATTAGAATACTTATTCTTATGATCATCCTTCTGAAATTGCTTGGGGCTGGGGTTTAGGGCTTTAGGTTCATTAGAATACTTCTTTCTATGAGTATCATTTTCCTATATCAAGGTTAGGTTTCTTAATTGCTTGGGGCTGGGGGTTTATTTAGGGCTTTAGGTTCATTTTATAGTACTTATTCTTATGATTCTTGTGATTCTTGTGATTATCATTTTCCTAATTCAAGGTTAGGTTTAGGGTTTGGGGTTTTAGGCTGCTTCTTGCATTGTTTGTGTTCTTACATGAGTGGGGGTGGGTTACGGGTTTGCCGGTTGGGAACCCCTTGCAGGTTTCGAGTTTAGGACTCTAAACCCTAAATCCTAAACCCTAAACCCTAAACCCTAAACCCTAAACCCTAAACCCTAAACCCTAAACCCTAAACCCTAAACCCTGAACCCTGAACCCTGAACCCTGACCTCTGAGCCCTGAACCCTGAACCCTGAACCCTGAACTCTGAACCCTGAGCCCTGGCCAGATCACGACGCACCACCTGAATGGCAGCTGCATCCTGATGGACAGCGCCTGCAGCGTACTCGGGGAGGTGGACTTCCAGAGGACGCGCTCGAGTGGAATCAGCCACGGAGGACTCAACCCCAAACCCCCCAAACCCCCCAAACCCCCCCAAAACCCTAAACCCTAAACCCTAAACCCTAAACCCTAAACCCTAAACCCTAAACCCTAAACCCTAAACCCTAAACCCTAAACCCTAAACCCTAAACCCTAAACCCTAAACCCTAAACCCTAAACCCTAAACCCTAAACCCTAAACCCTAAACCCTAAACCCTAAACCCTAAACCCTAAACCCTAAACCCTAAACCCTAAACCCTAAACCCTAAACCCTAAACCCAAAACCCAAAACCCTAAACCCTAGACCCTAAACCCTAAACCCTAAACCCGAATCCCAAACCAGAGCCCCCAGACCCTTAAGCCGCAGTAGCCCCAAACCCTAAACCTGAAACCCGAAACCCGACTCTCCCAGGACCGTCCTCCATTAGGAACCCGCGGCAGCTCATTACTGTTGACACAGCGGAGCTGCCGTGGAATTGCCGCTGCTTTCCTGTGTTAGGGTTCAAAGTTTTTAAGGGTTTCGGGTTTCGGGTTTAGGGTTTAGGTAGTTTTTCATTGTAACACGCCTTAGGTTCGTAAACTTCAAGAACGCGCAGCCAGGAACCCCTCAGGCTTCAGGCGCAGCTGTGATGCCCCCCAAAATCCAGCAAGAGCCGCGGGAGCCTAAACTCCTAAGCCCCAACAACCTCAAAAGCACAAGGATACTTGTTCTTCACCCTCAGCGCCTTCAAACCTGGTGGGGTGACACTGGAAAGCTTTCAGGCAGGTTGGGCTGATGAAAGGTTTTTAAAACCCTAAGCCCGAAGCCTTTTGAACCCGAAGCCCTTTAGGGTTTAGGGCTAAGAAGGTTTTGGGTGTGGAGTTCTTTCAAAGGCTTTGGGGGTTCGGATGGAGAGTGTGGGCGTTGTGGAGGATCCATCGGTTCGCCTGAAGAATGCCGTCACGATGGAGCAGCTAGCGAGCTACAATGCGAGTCGATCTGGTCGCGAGGAGGCCGAAGAAATGCGTCTACAAGGGGGGTTCTGCATCTTTGGTTTCCTATTTTGGGCATTTGCTTGCTTGTATTGTGGGTGGTCAAAATGCTGCAAAGTATGGAGTTCTCAACCCTAAGCCCGAAACGGCTTCCTGACTTACTGGCTTCTGTTGAGCGGCATTTGGCATTGATTTTGGTTCCCTGCTTCTCGGCTTCTAATTTGTCTCGGCTTTCAAACCTTCTCGGCTTCTTCGCTTCAGTTTTTTTGCTTTTGCTTTCTTGATGCCTTGGTTGCGTTCGGTTTGTTTGAAAAACGCTCTTCTCCTCTACTGAGTTTCTAGATGGGCTGCTTTAAAGGCAGGTAGGCTTGAGGCAGGCCAAAGCTGCAGAGGCAGTCGTCCTATGCTGTGCCGCCAAAGACCCGACCGGTGGTCAGTGGCGGGTGCTCGAGGTCGGAGTGCGGAGTGATGGCAATGCGCGTCTGGGCTGCATGTGTGTCTGGCTCAGAGTTTCTTCGCCTTTACTCTTTTTTCAATTTGAAGCCTGGGCTTTTTTGTGCTTAGAATCTACCTGGGGGTGTTATACCTAAAAAATTCAGGGGGTTTATCAGGCTTTAGGGTTTCAGGGGCGGCCCCTAAACCCTAAACCCTAAACCCTAAACCCTAAACCCTAAACCCTCAACCCTAAACCCTAAACCCTAAACCCTAAACCCTAAACCCTAAACCCTAAACCCTAAACCCTAAACCCTAAACCCTAAACCCTAAACCCTAAACCCTAAACCCTAAACCCTAAACCCTGAACTGCGTATATGGGGGAACACCAAGGAAGTCCTATGGCGCCCTGCATGCCACGGTCCGACAACTGGCCTTGCCCTCAGTGAAGATGGTTGCCTCCTTGGGTTAGGGTTTAGGGTTTAGGGTTTCGGGTTTAGGGTTTAGGGTTTAGGGTTTAGGATTTAGGGTTTAGGGTTTAGGGTTTAGGATTTAGGGTTCAGGGTTCAGGGTTGTTAGGTTTGTTAGGGTAAAACCCAAGACCCAGTCCCGAGACCCCAAACCTCGAACGATCTCATGACTCGTATGACCGAAAAAGGACGCCCCGGACATCCCTATGTACCCTCAAACTTCAATGTAAACAAAAGATATTAATCCATGCATGTCCTTACAAGAAAGAATTGTTTCATTTTCTTCTGTGGGATTCTTATACCCCAAATCCAGAAGAATATGTTTTGGGATGTTTCCCCCCTTATTTTTACAGTCCTTAAT